CATACGCTGTTTCGCCAAAATTTCAATAAATCAGATGTACCAAACAAATTGCATTTCAAAATTTCACCTTCCCGTTCCGCTTTAGTCATCAGTATTCGTTTCATCTCCTTACCGTCGGACAATCTTCCTGACAGGCTGGCGGTTCACTTTCCGTCACCAGAATTTGTTTCGTAAATGTTGTCTTTAGATTTTTCTCTACTTCTTGAACAGCTTCTTCTAGTGACGAGGCCTTGATTTGTGGCACGTCAACCGCAGCATCTGAAACACAATTTAGCTCTTACTTCAACCAGATTTTCCTACTAGTTGGTTGGGCATATTGGTAAGGGTATCGATAGCGCACAGGATATATTCTTCACCATTCACCTACGACATGCGGACTGTACTGGGATTGACCTCCGACGTTTCGGAGATGGGACTCTATCTCCGTCTTCAGGTAGACCTACTCAGTTGGGCCCAATCGACACAGCTAATCCCTATCTCCTTTTATTTTTGTAAGTAATTTTAGTCCATCTATTCAAAAATTATAAATATATAATAAAATATATAGGTACTTCATATGTGAGGTGAATAAAAAGTTAAATATGACACAAAATGAATTCAATCTCATTGACGCACCTGTCAAAATAATCTGTTGTGATGCTCTGACGGCACCCCCTGCATCGTGCCGCATCTCCACCACCATGCTATGCATTTCATCTGCCACAACAGACTGTATGACTGACATATCAGTCGACAACCGATACTCTGATTCTCTCTTCGACGTAACCAAAGTTCCCATAACCTGCAATAACAGCGCGTCATCACGCGTATTCAGATTTTAATTCACGTACAAGAACAAACGAAACATGGTCGATGAAATAAAACTTCTAAACCAAAATTCAAAAATGTATTTTCATCGCACAGGTCGGCCCTTGTTAAATACCCTTATCAGAAACTTTTAAGGGGATAAAAATCTTTGAAAGAACTCTCACACAATTCTAGGATTTGGATTGCCAAACACAAAAAGGAAGAGAAAGCCTCCGTATCTCGATAGGCTACGGATTAAATCTTTCTTTTTAATTACAATAAACTTACCTTGTCAGGGTGTAGGATGAAAGGAACAGTCTTCCCTGAGATGCAGTCAGTCTTGGTCTTAAGGAATGTACGCGGGTCTAGTGACCTGTAGGACACCTGGCATTTGCCAGATGCGTCCTTTTCTGTTTGAGTCACGTCCAGAATCTGGAACTGTACAGAACACGTGCCGAATTGCGATCATTTTAACATTTATTTTCAGAGATATGAAAAAATAACATCTTCCTCGAAACGCATTACTAAACAAATACCATAAACCAGGTTTCAATTAACGCCACATTCTCAAATTTAGAAAATCAATAGGGAAAACGCGCAAGGGATAGAATAAGGAACACCAAAATTAGGGAAGAGGACGTGTTCGAGTGGCAGATGAAAGAAAGACGAAACAGTTTTCGGAAGCTGGAGTCGAGGGTATCAGAACAAGAGGAAGACCTAGAAAGAGCTACTTGGATAGAGAAATAGGACAGGCAAAGGGGAAAAGTTAAACGCAGATGAAATTCTTAGGAAGGAATGAATCCGAAAGAGGTTTAGAATTCATGACGCTTCGCTTCAGTGCCGCCATAACGTTTTGCATGTTGCTTTTGCCGACATAAAGCAGTCACTTACCTGGAAGAGGCTAGCAACTCCTTTCTTGAGGTTCACCACGGACAGGTCTTCGCCTTCCGAGAGGAACACGTGCTCGATTTTGCCTGTATTCCAGTGAACTAAGTAAGGTAAGTTCTTTAAGGCCTCCAACTTTGACGCGTGCACCACAAATCCTTCCGGTTCTGGCGCTTTCCTAGACTTGATGTGCAGCTGCAGCGACGACAGCTACCAAAAAAATCATGAATCATCAGGGGTCCTGTCCGGCGTACTTACATACGCATAGTCATTTTTTATGGTTTTATCATTTGCGCGTGCAACGTAATTCCACACAGCACACACGATGACGGCATCAAGAGATACAAAAACGGTATCAAAGCGTTTTAATACATAAAAATTTGCGTCTTAATTTCTTTAATCGAAAGAAGTGACACAATAACATTCTTTTTTATTTTCTAACACTACATAACATGATCTGAACATAGCAGACATTAAAAAGTTAAAACTTTAAAATCTCCGGCTTTCTGTTGGATTTTGATTGGATTTTCTGTCAAAACTTGGAAAAGTTACGCAGATATTAACCAGCCAAATAGTCATATCATGTATACATCGGCTTGTCAGAATACACCATTAAGAAACACTGAAGAAGAAACAAGCCTTTGTCACAATAGCCAGTTAAACAGGAACATTACGCAATAACAAAACAGGTATTAAAAGTTCTGATAGTGGCGACACAGTAACAGCAGAGTATGAAGATTGTCATTTTCTGGGTTGTAGCGCTATATAGTCTGGTAGAAGTTTACCAACAATTCAGAAGTCCTTGCTGCCTCCATCATCAGGGCAATGAATACAACTTAGAAGACAGCCATCTTCAAACTGGGGAAAGGTAAACAGAACAAAGTAAATGGGACCCCCAAAGATCGCTTACAGGCAGGAAAAAGAGACTTTGTTACGTGGCCCATCACTGAGGAACCATCGATGGGTAATCATAGGTTAGCTACGTTTCCTAATTAATTAGTTGAACAGTGATGATACATCAATGTAGCTGACAGCAGTAAAACGTTTGTTTTTCAAGAGTTTGCACCACTCGAGGCTTAAAATCCCGAGATAAGAAACATCTGATTTTGCATTAAAATGATCAAGGCTGCAATCCACATTTCTGTCGAGATTGCATAATACAAATGGCTACTGGGCAAGATTTAGCTGAAGTGTGCATTACGTAATGCTACTCAGGGCATGTCCTAATAAAGATTTCCGTTCACCTCATTTAGTCTTTTATAATGAATTAAGACGTTTCTTTATCAACGTTTATGGGGCAGTGGTTGAACACCTTACCGTCAGGAAAATGGCGGAACATAACTATATCGGCCTGTGTCCTTAACCTTCTGTGTTACTGACCTGCAGTTGGAGCAGCTTATCGTTTGGGTCGAAGGGGCTTTGCCAGAGTGCCCCGACGCTGAGGGTGGCGGTGACCAGGTAGCCGACATCCTTGCCGACGCGCGTCCCGGCCTCATTCAGGAGCACGGTGCTTTCCAGACGATAAGCGTGCCCGGAGCCAAGCTGGAACTGCCTGGACACAGCGGTAGAGCCAGCTGCTGGGAACGAGAGAAGTACGAAGCCATAGCAGATCAGCGGCCGTAAAGACAGCAATGCTGCCACCGTCCACAACATGACGCGCGGTGGCTTGCAGCCATTACCCAAGGCGAACAGCGTTTAGTTCGGGATCTCTCAGCACTGCAGAGCTTTATATAGTAGGAAATAAATTGAAAAACGTCGTTCTGTAGCTTTAGAATTTTCGGGGATGTCCTTGAAATATGTTGTAATAAACTTCGATAAAGCGCATTACAAATAGCTCTGGTTTCAAATCCATTGGGTATGTTCTAGAATGTGGATGTTTCGCGTTTTCAACGAGATCCATGGCACGTGCTGATTTCGCATCCAAGGTGGCCTGCAAAGTCTGAAGTTTCAAAGCCGACAGTTGACTATCTCAAAATTAATTGGACCGAAAAAAGGTAGACTGTTTTATCTGTAAAAACAAAAGTTTATGGCTGATGGCCGTCAACTTTTTGAAGCCAAAGGTCGTCCAAATTATTTTTTAGAATTCAGTCCGTACCGCAAAGAAAACACAACACTTCACCATTACAAAGATCAATTGGTTAACGCTGTTTACAGTAAAAATAATACGAAATCCATGAATACGAGAAGACCAACTAAAAATTTCGGTCAAAACACCGAGAACGCAACAGATACACGAACAGGCTTATACAACATTTTCCAGTACAGCTTCGTCGTAAGTTGTCGAACCTGAATTTGAAGCAAGGCACTCCGAGTAGAAGAGATGTTGATTTACCAGACACACAGGCAGCTGTTCCACTGTCACGTTTTGCCTGAAAACTGGTTCATCTCCCCGAACGAAAACGAAAGTAAATTATAATATATGAAGACCAGGGCAATGGAAAATGAAGACAGTTCATATTAAAAGGCGGTGGGAAGTGGATTTTACTTTCATTATACCTTTTTGCCCTGGCAGTAAGTGAGTTACAAGCGGATATTGTGTTTGATCACGAGCTAATCATAAACAGAAAAACAAAAGACTGTGAACTGAGATAAATTTCTAAATATCAGCACATGAAACCGAACTTAGCACTTCACAGCACACATACACACACGTGGAATGCACTACGGCTTTCACATACTGTTGGAGTCTTCCCATTCACTACATTACATGACCAAGATGAAGGCGAACGGGGGCTTGCTGGTTGGAGGCAGCAGGCGATTCCGTTACCCGGACCATGTTACACGATGCGGCCAGCAACGGGGCCCAAAACTTTGCCACGTGTGTACAGAGTGAACGTTATAACGCGCCGGGCACGTAGCGCAAACCACCGCCACCAAAGGACGTTCCCGTGAACACTTGCTATTTACGCCAGACAGAAAATTACAGCACCCAATGTCTTGCCTTTAAAGCTTAATGGTTACTAAATGTGTCATCTGCTTCAACAATAAACAATTCTTCATTTTGTATTTGTAGATTTCGAACGATTCGCACAGTGCAAACAGCGATTATATCCTTAAACAGCGTTAACCAGTTGATCTTTGTAATGGTGAAGTGTAGTGTTTTCTTTTCGGTACGGACTGGATTCTTATATATTATTCGGACGAGCTGCGGCTTCAATGGGCTCATCAAAAAGTGATAAACTGACGAACAGGTAAATAATAAAAGTAAATTGTCTGCACCTCACAACTTTTCGACACTTCAACTGCAGGACGTCAGAGAAGTTAACGCCCAGCCGTTGATGGTCCCTGCGTCTGGTAACATCGCCTTACATACCGTACGCCTGTCACAATAATAATTGAACACACTGTTGCCGCTGTGATGACGTCATGCATCCGCGCATTTACTTCCAACCTCATGATTGGATTACAGACAACCCCTATTTTTTTTTACTTGCGTGTGTAAATCAAATTTTAATTAACCATTTAAAGCCGAGTGGTAACTATATGTACCACCTGCTCCAAAAATCACTAACGCTTAATTTTGTATTCGTTTCGTATGATTCTCACTGTTTTCTGTGATTATTTCCAAAAACAGCGTTAACCAGTTTTTTTTATGGTGAAGTGTTTTCTTTGCGGTACGGACCGAATTATTCAATTTTATTACACGAGGGGTCAAAGCAGGCCACGACCTTGCTCGGCCACGTCTCACTGATCCTTTGCAGAATATATTTTGATTTCAGAATCAAATATATCTAATAAAATCATAGATTTAACAAAATGTTTTCTTTAATTTTCCCCCCTCCCCCTACGTTTATGAGAAACATAACAGAAATTAAAATGTCAGAAAGGCACACGTGTTCTTCACGTGATTGACACGAGGCTGTTTCGTGATCAATTACGTTATTGTTCTATTACTTAACGACCGTTCTTAGTTACGTAGATTACAGTGGAAGGTAGATTGCCAATTTCAAAGAATTTAGAAATGAACAAGGTCTGTTCATCTCACCTCCAGAATTTTCCTATAAGAGACTGATCAAACCCATGAACAAAAATCTTTGTCACGATATCCAATCTCCGATTATAGATTCGAACCCGGGGCCTGTACCAACGTAAACCACTGAATTGAGACTGTAGATGGAGTTGAGTTGAGTTTCCCATTTCCGCTGACAGTTTTTTATATTTTGAAGCCTATCTGTTGTTGTTGTTGTTGTTGTTTCCTGGGCACCGAAGTTTTCACTTGTTTTTTATGAGCCTTGGATGCCTTCTGGCTGGCTTTAGGACTCTGCCCCGTCTTGATGCCGGCGTCTCGTCAAAATCTACGTTTGGAACGGAATTTCAAACCCGGTCAAATGGGGAGATGCCCGTAACAGCGATTCAACAACAACTGTTACCAGGCTAAACAACAATGAACTTCGTGGAGCAGCGTCATTAAATTCCCCGCAAATTTTCGGTCCTTTTAGCTCCTGAAACATGATCCTCCCGGCTGACAAATGTCTACTGCAGCGAGGAAGAGGTTAGGTTAGTCTTTCTGTTAAAACAAGCGCTGAGAAGCTTCTTGAAGGGCAGGCATCAACACACACTGGAGATATTAGAAATGCATACAAAATTTTCGGAATAAAACCTGAAGTGAAGAGACCACTTGAGGCAAACGGCAGAATAATATTAAAAAAAGTAGTCAACAAATATGGCATTAGATGCGGACTGGTTCAGGGTAGGGACCAGTCGCAGGCTGTTGTTAACACGGTAATGAACATTCCGGTTTCATAAGACGTAACCAGCTATGCAACTACAAGCTACGTGGAGTGACTTAACTAAAATGAGTTGTTCAATTCTTTACCATAACAGAAATTGAGGGAAATGTGGGGGTAAATATGGGAAGATGTTTAGAAATTCGAAAGATTTTTAGTTCAGATAAAAGGATTAAGATAAGACGGTTACTTAACTACAACCACGAGCTACTATATTTCGAGTGCCGATGCGACACACATCGACTTATACTACCTACAATTAAGAACACACCAACCAGTCAATTGTTGTGAAATTACACGAAAAAACAAAAGAAGATAAAGGAACTTATCTTACATTTTTATTCAGATGTATTTCCATTTGTTTGCTGTTTTTGAGTTTCACAGAATTTCTATTGTCCAGATAAATTACTTCCCTTTGATTCACAACTAAGCTACTAAGCAACCAACTTGACTCAACTAAATATCTCTTTACTATCATCAAAGATACCGTAATACTGAAATAGTAATTCACATTTTCAGTTTCTTAATTGACTAATGATCTTGTACTCAATTACAAGCATTTCTCATTATTTTTTTTTCCAACACAACTTTTAATTTATATTTTCGCATTTCTCAGACAATAAATTAAAACACATAATTTAAATACATTATTCATTATACCAGTCCAGTGTTAAATTATTTTTTATTTATTTCTTCGAGGTAAAACGATTATATTATTTACGTAAAGAAATTGATTATATGCGTTATCTTTTGGAATTCAGAATTAATTTATATACTACGGCGCTAATAATAACCCTCTCTTACTCTGTGCACACAATACCTTTTATTAAAAAGTCGAGACGCTGATACTAATTTCAAAAATTCAGAGACTGAACCTAAATCAACTACACATTTGTAGCCAAATGAATTATTAACAATGGCAACCAGCATTCGCTACTCTGACTTTGATAACGGCAACAATAAATCACGTTTCAGTCTAGATTTATCAGAAAGTAGGTCCGGAAAAAAGTATCATTCCGCTGCAGTATTAACGCTTCGTCAGACTGGCCAACACAACAGCGCTAAATTATCTACAGTCGTCGTCATATTTCCTGAATTCCCCTACACTGGTTTGTTCCGTCAGTTTGTTAGTTACATACGAAAGATAATTTGCGACACAACAGGAGCTACTTACTTGGTGCCATCTGGCAGTTAGAACCTAAAAGAGAAGGATTACAACAATTAGACACTAGCAGCAAACAAAAGAACGTTACACTGCGTGAAGGAAACAAGGAAGAGAGAAACGTTTGGTTCTATCTTTGTCCGAAAGGGGGCAGAGTTTTGGATGTGCATGTGAAACTACGGAAGGGAAGATTTGCAATAAGAAATGAAAGAAGAATCTAAATGAAACTTAAAATAAAGAAAAGGAGAGACGAGATAAGCGGTAGGATTTAAAAATAAACAAGTATACAACAAGAAACAAACATCTAAAAAAAAGACAGGAAGTAGAAGTTATATCAGGAGGGAAATTTTTATACGTATTTATAATTGGCATAATACAAACATGAGCGAATACGAATAACAGCGCACTGACAAATAAAATGTAACGTTAGCGAAGAAGAATTAAATTATAATTTCAAAGCAGATATAAAATAGGACGCAAACTGCGTGTAGTTATTAAGATGAGTAAATTCTGTAACAAATTATAAACATTGCTAATAAAAATCAAAAGGTTCGCTTTCGGAACACGAAATATATCAAAGGTCTCCTTGAAATAAAAGACGATCAACCGGTGTGTTTTGGCCTAATACGGAATCTAATCTAATTTAATGACACACCTTCGCTGGTCTTTTGGGTTCTTGGGCTGATAGGAGTTCACAGAGTACGCGATTCTATTCTTTTGCCCTCTTCACTATCAATTAAGAATTTTTGCGTTTATTTTCGTGATGTTACTCAGGAAGGTTAAACACAGCGAATCAGTTCGTAAAATTGGTTACATAGAACCGGAAAATATGGTTTTATCGGAAAATGACATTGGTTTAAGTTGGAGGTCACAGAGGGAGTCAGTCACATGTGCGTGACCCTCTGTGTATGAACCGAGCCTTAACAGAGGAAGTTTTTTTTTTTTTACAAACCATTTCCGTCAATCCCTCCAACGCCCTTGGAAATCTTCGGCCCTTCTTATTCGTAAAACAAGTTTGAAACTCCGGAAGGAACACGGGAACAAATATATCATCCACCAGTCACACTTCACGTCCCATAGACAAACGCGAAAGATAAGTAAAACCGATAAATTGAACTTCAAATATAAGACACGTACGAACGCTCGCGACAATAAAAGGTAAACTACAAGTTGCCTCACAACTTGCTTCCATCTTGTGGCTCAAACAGTCTTTTACGTAAATTAACATCCCTTAAAAAATTGTGTTCTATTTTTTTTTTAAAACGAGGTTACCGCTTTTGGCAAAATATACATATCGAGATCGCGGATTCTTACCCCGGCTCCGGGCACAGACGTTCGTCCACGTGTTTCCATGTTACTGTCTGTAGACTAGCACAGTTTATATTAAATTCTAACATGAATAAGATTTAAATACGAGGATGGTAACTGTTGATCTACCAGTTATTTCTAACATGAATAAGATTGAAATACCAGGATGGTAACTGTTGATCTACCAGTTAGAATCAACGATAATCACGATTAAAGGAAACTAAGGTTCTGATTGGTCCTCAGCTCCTAGGCGAATATTTTCAACAAATATTTGCAGGTTTGTCCATTAGAAACAGTCAGCCAGTTGAACTCCATAACGGTGATGTACAGTGATGGAAAAAAACATACACGACGTGGCTTAATGAGCCACTGGTCACAGACAAACCATGAGAGGAAGATATGAATGGATAAATATAATTTACGTTCCTCAGGACAGTGACAGTGACTGTCGAGCCTTAGGTAGTCTCTGTCTCAAAACAAATGTCAAACCAATGACAGCGTTACGGGTTTAGAAGGAACGTGCTTCTCGAAACAAGGAGTGGATGAGGTGTGTGTTTCGATTTAATCTCGTAAGGTATGACGGCTCCGACCACCTTTACCCTTAGTTTAACCTTCACCTGCGTCGTTTTTGCTCGAAAAGCGATGGGCAGTGCGAGGAGGCTGAACCGAGACACGTGGAAAACGAGTAAACATTTTAAGTTTACACAAAATATTGTATCCTAATTGCACTGTAATTGAGAAATCGTGTTGGCATTACGCAGACGTATCGGGGATGTAACCAATAACAGGAGAGCTGAATGCAAGACCCACACTGAAGTTGGCCACAAAAGGACCGAAACTTGTGATGTCATGAAGTTATGACAGATTGATTAGATCGAATTTAACAGTAGTTCTGTAAGCTCGTTTTCAACTCAAAGTCCGCTCTGTAATGGGGCTGCCTGTAAACTGATATCAGGGTCAGAGGTTGGGAAAACACAGGCCCTCTCTCTGCTGTGCTGGTAGATCAGAAGTCTGCAAAGTAAGTTTTTCGACCACTGACATTGCAGAGGTACAATTTGGGGGGGGGGGCTTTGATTTCTTCAGTTTCCCAAGAAACTTCCGACTTCTTGTTACAAGTACACGTTTTCAGAGGTACACAAAAGTGATAATGCAAAGAACAAGTAGCCCGAAATCACGAATAATACCAACATGCAACAAAATGAAGCCTCAGCCTCACCTCCCCACTACGAAGATCAATTGGTGCGTTGGATCCAACACCTCCCCACTACGAAGATCAATTGGTTAACGCTGTTTAAGGAAATGATCGCTGTTCAGAGTTACTGAACGCCAAATGCGGGTGGTAATCTTACTTACCACGGTGTCTTAAGTCACTGAACAGAATCTGGACTTTTGAACCACGTAACCACGGGAGTATCTGTTGCACGTTTATTATAATATGAACTTTGTGGGGCGTCTCTGACCCTTTTATGTTGTCTGTATGACAGACTGAGTACAACGTCGGAATCACGAGTTAGGTCAGAGTCGGAAAATCTCCTTCAAATTCTCGACACACGAATGAATTTCAACAGCCTTTGGCTTTTCCAAACTCCAGTGTTCAGTACAGAACATTATTTGCTCTCGATAACAAGATTTCAACACGTGACCTATGTGTGAGGTGCTCCCTGACCTCTGACCCCTGACGGCTGACATCACGAGCTATCACTAGCCACACGCTCTTCTTCAATGTCAGTCGGTTTCACTGGGAGAACTGTTAGCTACTGCTGCTAACAGCTCCACGTGTTGGATGTTACCCTGGACATTTTAAAACGCCTTCTTTATGTTCCCCTGTCCCACAGAGGGACGGAGGATGTGGGACAATTGAGAGCAATTGACGAGGAGAAGGCAAATATGACGACAACACTGGACTCATCATCACAGGACAGCTGTGTCACGCTCAGTTTCACAAATTGTTTCCTCGAGACCCATAATACCGTTATATTCACACATTGACGTAGAGAGACAGAGTATAAAGATAGCTTTACTTCGTGCCAAAGTCTAGAAACTGAGGAGCTCTACGTCCAAGCCCCATATACGCCCTCATAAAGTGTTCCTTAGTCACAGCAGCAACTTCAAATTACCTTTATCCATCTCTAGACCTCGTTAGTGGTTATTTATAATCAAAAATATGTTTCAACATAACTGTCTTCTGGGATGGTCTTCTGAAACGTCGGTTAATTTATACCAGATTACGCGGCGCAACAGCCCAGAAGACAGCCATCTTAATATCTGTATCCATGAGAACCTGAAATCTCATCAACAAGTCGTATGATTCTTTCTTTCGCCCACATCGCTCGTCTCGATTTGAAACACCCTATAAATACCAAATTAGATAGTTCAGTTATGAAACACCTTATCTTTTAGCCTCATCCACAATACCGGTCTTCTAATGGAACCGCAGCTCAGAAAAGTGAAGTCAACATGGCACTGAGCAATCCGCCATTATCATTTGGGACGACAGTGACCTTTTTTTTTTAAATATATTCAAGAAAAGTAGAAGGAACAAAGAATCAGTTCCAATCGGAGGTCACTTGAACTTTGACCACAGTTTCTGATAACCGAGATTTCATGTCGTCCACAATGCTCTGAGGTTGTTCTAAAACACTGACGTATGACGTCCAAAATTCCACGCAATTGTTTTCCCATAATCTAGCTCAAGACTAATAATTCATCAGTCACAAACTTGACTGATTAGCTCAGCGATATACCTCTGTCTTGCACGACCGATTTTCAGTTCGAAACTCCGCCGAGTGGACAGACGTACCAAACAGGAAGTTCTGACAAATGACAAGAACGTTGGACTTCCGTCCCTTCAAATATTTAAAAATATACAGCGATGCTAGCAGTAACTGTTAATTAATATTCTCATTCTGTGTACTGAACCATTTCTCGACACAGGTTCCCAGTACGTTAAATTTTTTAGACAGACTGTAACCACAAAATTTCGTACAGTGGCCATATTTATAATTTTTTACATACAACATAAACGACGTTGCTCATAAAATTTGTAGGTACATACACGGTATGTCCCCACATATAAGTTTATCAACCTACCTCTAGTGATTCATTAACACAGAAGGCAATAATGGCTTTCCTTTCTTTGCTTTTAATCCTTTACAAAATGAGATCCTTAAATAAACTAGATGGGCCTAATGACAAGTCAACGCAGGTAGTACAAACACTTCCCACTGCGCTGTACAGCGGTAAAGAAGCTTACCGAATACGGCCAGAAAACAGAAGACGGGGAAGAATCCGCTGGAAGGAAGCGCCATTGCACTGTGTACAAGGTTCTGAGGCGAGCTAACAACTAACTACAGTATAGTACTATCAGAGCAGGGCAGTATGGACGGCTGCCAACACGCAGCTGATTGTTAGTGCGACACATAACAAAAAGGCAGTGGGCCGTGACTCATCGGTGGTCCGTACTAAACCACTAGATACCACAGATAATAGCAACATAGTGTTCGTGGCTTTGAAACACTGACCATTCTACTTCTCATTTAGGTGCCGAGAAATAAAGTCAGTGGAAGAAACATATCCTGCCATCTACCAACAATTACAGCAAACTGCGTTACTATGGCAACTCAGTTGAAAACAAAAAAAAACTATGGGAACGGTTACGTATCAAAGTGTGGAGTTTTTTTTTTGTTTAAATCGACCTTAACCAATTGGCGGCGAAAATAAAAATCTTTGTAGAGATCAGAAGTTACAAATGTGTAATTTTTATATTTTAGTATTTTGGAACCATCAACAAACTGTATGAAATTGTACCACAATTTAATGTGCTTATCCCGACGATGGTCCGAACTGAAAAATGTTGGGGAAAATAAATTAAACACCGTGTGTGTGTTTTGATTATTTTAACGTCTGTGCTGCCATCTATCAGAACAGGGGAAATACACAACGGCGACGGGTTTGTGATGCTGGAGTTCAGTCGGTTAAAGAGGTTGACTACTATTAAACATACGCGAACTGATTTCTTTGACTCATATTTCTAGCGGAAACACAAATATAATGACAGTGCACGTGTACTTATGGTAACGTGAGGCGAAGTTATTGAATAGACGTCTTCAAGGAAGTAGACTTTCTTGGTCTGAGAATTTTCGAACAAGATTTGGAAAAAAAAAACTGCAAAATTGA